CTCGGGACAGGGCCTCCGGCGCCTGGCCCTACCCAGGGCGCCGGCTGGCCTCTTGAGCCCTCCTCCCCCAGGTCTGGCAGGAACTGGGGGAAGAAAGCCTCATGCGGCCAGCAGCTGCCTTGCGAAGGGCCAGGCCAGGCACGCCTTGTCAGTAGTGGGAGCAAGATGTCAAAGGTCAGCTGGGGTGGCAGAGTGCAGGGTGGCAGAGGTCTCGAGGTGTAGGGTGGCAAGGGCAACTGGGACTGGGCTGGGGTGGCTGTGGCTTTGCGCTGTGCTGCTGGGCCGTGCTGGGGCTGGGCTTTGCACTGCAGCTCAGACTTCTTGCAACCTGAGAGCTGCAGTGCACCAAAAAGCCCCTTTGCGCCATGCTGGGGCTGGGGTTCGCGCTATGAAGGGCTTTGTGCTGTGCTGTGGCTTGGGCTTCTTGCAGCCCCAGAGCTGCGCTGCTGGGTCAGACTGGGGCTGGGCTTCATGCTGCACTGTGGCTCGGGCTTCTTATAGCCCCAGAACCACAGTGTGCCAAGAAGCCCCTTTGCACCGCACTGCTGGGCTGGGGCTAGGCTTCGCACTGTGAAGGGCTTGCGCTCTGCTGTGGCTCAGGAGCTTCTTGCAGCCCCAGAGCTGCAGTGCATCAAGAAGCCCCTTTGTGCCGCACTGCTGAACTGGGCTGGGGTGGCTGAAGCTTCGCACTGTGCTGCAGCTCAGGAGCTGCAAGAAGCCCCAGAGCCACGGTATGCCAAGCAGCCCCTGAACCACAGTGTGGCAAGCAGCCCCAGAACTGTGCAGTTCTGGGGCTGCTTGCCACCCCACAAGGGACGGTGCAGGGCAGGCAAAAGGGCAGAGATGGGGGGGAATAGGCAGTTGGAGGGAGTTGAAGGGGAAGCAGTCCCTTACCTTGGAAAAACCAAGGCTCGGGGCAAGGAGGGACCAAGTCTAGAATGGCTTGGATTGGGGTGGGTCCTTGACTAACGACTGGTGGAATTTGGTTAACAATGGCAATGGGGAGTGCCAGGGTTGCTGTTGCTAAGCGATGTGGTCACATGACATCACACTTTACAACTGCATCGCTTAGCAAAGGAAATTCCAGTCCCAATTGTGGTTGTAAGTTGAGGATTCCCTACATTCCCTGCATCAGATAAAGATTTTCCATTCAGCTCAGTCCATGTTGTCCTACTTGGAGAAATGAGGGCAGGATGTTTGTTCATATGTAACATAAGAACAAAAGTTGAGTTACTAGTCCAGTGCTTCTTATCTGTGTTATATATCAGGCTTCTGAGTTCTTTATTTCAACAATCAGACTTGTATTGAAAGCCTTCTGCTCTGTTCCCAGAGTGAAGGAACTTCCCAACAGTGGAACAGCTGGAGAGGCACAGACCTGTATGGAAACTGAGAGTGAAGAGTTTGAGATTAGCAAAGAAGAATCAGACCATCTTCTTGAAGTATGTATGTTCATAGCTTAAGATCAATTTATTTAGGGAAAGAGGACCTGGTGCAGTTGTACTAATATTTTTCCTTGTGAATAGCAGCTTTCTGAAGATGAGCTGTCTCCTCATCTGTCCAGTTTTCGTGAAGCTCTCACCCGGATTAATGAACTTGAAGAGAAAGCAATAGAAGAACTTAAGGAAGTCAGGGAGGTATATTTGAATACTCAAAACTCCATAGGATTCTGTTTTCTGAATTGGCTAATATTTCTGAAGTATTGTGCTATAGATAATAAAATAGCTGCTTATGCCTGTGGAATGATGCTTATAAACAAAGAGTGTCTCACATATTCTTGCTAATTTGGCAGATATTTTCACTAACTTTTGCCCTTTCAGTAAATGAAGGAAATTCATTTTATCTCACAAAGCCATCCCAATTCTCTCCTAAATTCTGCATCCAGAAAATGAATGACTGTAACTATCTCCTGGACATTGCAGAACAACCAGAATATGACCTAGAGGCATTTGTGTACCAAGCTCAATGCTTCATAAATGAAGGATCCAAAAGCTTCCTCGGTCTGAAAGGTACAAAGGCAGCATCATCTTGAACTGTTGTTAATTTAGCTTTACTGCTATATTTTGCAAATTGCATGCTAAGCACTGTAGAATAAAGTAGAGATGCAACTGCTGTGGAGGAACTTTAGCTCTTCGCTAAAGTGGCAAAGGAGCAGTAAAAACTAAGGTTCTCTGGGAAAGTAAGGAGGGCATATTTTTTGTTCTGATTTACCAAGAGAATGTGCCCATCAGAATTTTCCTACTTAAACTTAGTGTGACACAGTACAAGGGATACAGAAAATTTCCAGCACAATGAATGCAGGGGAAGATACAGCTTTTTGTCATATCAGGTTGTTATTTTTTCCCCTTTCTCTTAAAGTATAAGTGAAGCTCATCTTGGGTGTTTTGCAGACAGTAGTCCTTGAATTAATCTTCAGTTTCCAACTTAGGAAGATTTGGAAGCTGTCTGCCATTCTCCTTTGCTTCAAGGTTTGCAGTTTAGGCAGAGACTTTTGTCTATAGGACTTACAATACCTGGGGGAATGGATAATTCAAAGATGTTCTGCCACTTACCTCCCCCCAGCTAGTTCAACACAGGATGGGTAGAAGTTGCATGTGGCCTTGAATCCCCTTTTTAAATGTATGCAGAAATGGTGCTGAATTTTGGTAGTATGCTGTTGAGAAACAGGAGCAGAATTTCTACTTTTTCCCCCCTTTGGCTGAAGGTAGAAAATACCTTTATAAGCCTTCCTACTTCAGTGTTAATACTGACCGGTCCACTGTTGTCCTTGACTGTCATATCCTCCCAGAGAGGACGCTGAGCTGATGTTCTTTTTTCTAGTACATGAACAGTAAGAAAAGTGTACAGGCTACCGATGGTCCAGAAATTACATATTTTGTGTCTTTAAACGTAGCTCTTATTGAGAAGCTTGAAATGGCTTGAGTAAAAATACTATTTTCAAGATAGATATAGAATCAACAGATATAAGAATGAAAGAAGGAGAGGTATAATAAAATAAATATAAAGATTGCCTTCTGCCAAACTAAGGGAAGGAGTTAGTGAGGAGTTAGTGAGTGAGAAATGGAAGAAGAGTTTTAAATTAGGAAGAATACTGAGCATCTGTGTATCATTTGTCTTATATGCAGGGTGCAGCTGAGTTAATTTTTTTCAGTCATTTTGCTTCCATTACAAAAGATGAACTTGGTATATCTAACACCTGAAAAAGTAAAGCCTATGAAAATACATTTCCCAGAGTCCACTTACACCTGCAGTGCTAGTGGACAAACCCCATGCTGCCGTACCTGTGAGAGTCTCACTATTCTAACACAGAGGTACGCTGTATTCCAGATGTGTATGGGAAGACAAACATTCTCATCCCCATTTGTCCTAGCCCAGTTGTTTCTATTTAATGAAGCTCCATGTGGGCCGCACAGAGGGTTCTTTTCTTCCAGTAGAAAACAAAAAGGCCTGTTCTGCTTTCAAGAAACTACTTAGTAAAGCCATCCTGTGAGCCTACACAAATTTCAATATGTTCAGAAATTACATTAAAGCAGAACATTAAACAGTGTATATATTTTGTTGGATAGAAACAGATGCAAGTTGCTCTGCATGTCTTATCCTTTTTCTGAATTCTGTTACAATCTGGACTTCACTTGCCTGTTTTTTTCCCTTTTTCACTTTCCACAGAGACTCTAGAGGAACTAACTCTTGCCATGCAAATGGAAGAACAAGCCAGCAAGCACCTGAATCAACGGCACCTTCAATAACTATCCACTTGTTAAACGCACCTTTCCCCCTCTCTATTTGTCTGTCACTTATTTCGTTTGCTCTTGCTGCATTTTAAAAGCAAACAGAAAATCTGCCCCATCTACTTTGAGTGGGTCTTTTAAACCTGATGCAGGAAAGGGACAGCTCTCTGCCAGAAACTAAATTTTCTAGGACTTTTGTCCCTCTTTTCCAGTACTGACAGTTACATAAGGAGGGCATGTTAGTGTCACATGTTAAGCATGTATATATTTCTAGTGTACATAGAATATTTGACTAAATATTTTTGTATGTTACAACTGAGTGCAAACCAGTGAACCTTAAACTGGATTTGCTGTTCTTAAGATAGAAAAAGTGATTGAAGGTGTTTAAATAAAATTTTCTGAATTCATTAAGTTTTGCCTTGCAAAAGCACTACGGCTTTTTTTGTAGGTCTCTAGATGTTCTGAACCTTTTCACTATGAGTGAAGAATCCAACTGGACAAGTATTCTAGGTAGAAGGAAGTCTGCTACTGGACAACACTTTTTTTTTTAAATAGGCAAATTAGCAAATTTGTTTTCTTTTCCTTTCAGGTAGTTATTGTCTAATAAGTATTATCATAAGTACAGATAAAAACTGGGGCTATTAACTAAAAAATTAAAAAGCAGTCAATAGCCGTAATTAAGCTCAGAACTGAAGGACGCACAGGGTAATAAAAGAAGTGCAATTTAACAGTGCTGGGGATCAGAAGCAGCTGAGATAAAATTAAGATATGTTGCTTGAATTCTGTAGTAGATGGATGGATACTTAGCATAAAGGTCATCCATTGCTCTAAATATAAATTTCTGGAAATGGATAGCCCTGGATATGTGCAGTTAGTCACACTTAAAATCAAAGGATTTAGGATAACAGCCTTTATTAAACGACAGTTTTGCTTTCTAAAAAGCTTGTTTGCTACTGAATAATAAATAAATAATCTTTATATTTAATAATGAATGCTGCTAGAAAAGGATGGTTCATGTTTTCAATTCTTTTCAGGCCAAATAAATGATCTTTATAAAGTTTTCTGAGGAAAAACTACTCACATCTATAATGAATTTTTGAGATGCTTACTTTCAGAGTAGACAGTAGGCTGTCTTCCAGGTTTATTGAATTGTAACTACTACAATCTCATGCTAGCTAGGATAATGAAAACTAATTCAAAACATTTAGAAGTCAACAGATTGCTCTACCTGTTCTGCATTAAGGTTTGTCTTAGCAGACACTCCTTAGCAGACACGCAGTTGGAAACATTGTGTCCTTGGTCATACAGAGTATAAGAGAATTTGGCAGAAGGTAGTATTCATTTAAATATTTAAGCAAAAAATTAATTTGAAGGTAAATATAACCTTGAAATACAGATTAAATGCAACAATTCAGTGCAATTTTATTTAACACAGATATTCTGTTTCCTCTTTAGAGTCTAGGGTAGTTGTACAAGGAATTATTCCACATTAATATAACAAACTTATGATGTGAGTTAGGGTTGGGCTACGAAGCTGGCAAAAAAATTATCCAATTTTTTGTTCCTTATGCTTTCCTGAGCCTTATGCCTTCCAGTGGTGTTGAACCATAACTACTTGTTGGGAGATTATGGGATTTGTAGTTCAGTACAATCTGTGTACTACTACAACAGGTGAGAAAACTAGTCAAATAATTTTGGAAATAGTGAAAATAGGAATCACCTGTCCCAGTGTCTCAAAAGCCATATAGTGTGTACTGCAGTTATGTAGTCCTCTATCTGTTGTTCATAGAGACGCACAAAAAGACTTTGAAAAAGGTACATTATGCAAGGGGTACAGAGAAATGGAGAGAAGATGAAAATCAGCAATCAACCTAATACTTGAATGAAATTAAGCAAGTGGCTCAGAAGATACTTCACTATCTTCAGTGTGCCATTCCTCTTCAGGGCTTGATTCTGTCTCTAAGTTGGGGGGAAAAAGCAGTTTCAGTTCAAGAAAAGCAATTTAATTTTGAATCTATTACTGAAGCAATGGACTGATTTTAAGTGTGTATGCATATGCATATCTACGTATACACATGAACACTACTCAGCACAGATCACATAGATTTGTGCTGCACAAATTAATCAAATGATTATAAACCAGTTTGTTTTGCAATGAAGTTACAACACGGTGATGTGACTAAACCATTTTGGGTTGTCAGCTGGTATTTCCCTCTACAGATTTTACATGAACATATATTTCAAAAAGTAAATATAAAAATACTGCTTTTTATATTTTTATTGCTTTGTGGATTTGCTTGACTAATCTGAGCAGTTTCTGAATTTAGCTGTGAATTGTTAAACACTTTTCTAATTCTGCACCAAAAGAAATTTTCAATTCCATATATATCCATGTTTCTTATTATAGACTTTTGACCATAATTGCAAAAAGCATACCTGTTAAAGCCATTTTTCCTTTAGCCAAAAAATCTGCTGGAATACTGACTATATTGGTAGCCAGGATATCAGCCTGCACAGCATCCATATTCAAGTACAAATTTGTAGAATCTTGCTGGGAAAAGAAAAAGGTTCAGCATTTTAATTTGAAAAAGTGAAGACCACAAATTACATTTCCAGACAGGTCTTTCATTATCTGCCTGTCTCAAAGCCATTCAAACTGAATTCTCTTTACGCACACACCTTTCCTAACTTGAATCCCATGATGATTGTTTATAGGACAAATTACTGGAAACAAAGGGCAAGTTCATACAACTGCATCAATTGATTTCACTTTGATACATGGGCAAGCATATGAAACATTTTCAATGGAAAGTTAACATAGATCTTACTGTAATTACTATGCTGCGGTTTAATTAGACATGAACATGCATATGTGAATCAGATTAATGTCCTGGTCCTTAAACTTGGATTTTGACTGCCTCAATCTTTTGATTGTGTTGGGTATGCCAACTGTAACTAATGAAGTAGGAAACAATCTGTTTTTCATGTGCCTACTCAGTCTCTTGTCACCTTTCAATTACATTCCACACACCAGAAGAATACTGGGGAATAAAGTAATGTAAATTGCTTAGCCAATTTTGCAATCATTACTGGCCTTTGTTTTGAGTCCAGTTAAAGCCATCTTTGGGACCTATAGTTTCCCAGCATCTGAGGTGCAAAAGATTTTCCACTCCTGATCTTGACAATGGTAGATTTTAGCTATCTTCCCTAGATAATTAACTTGCCCTTTAATCTTAATCTAAGGTATGCTATGTGTTCTATTCATGCATAATTGGTAGTAATCCAGAAGATCTTATCTCTGGTTTCTCAACATTTCTATAGGCTTTTTTTTTTTTTGGAAATGACTATAAAATGACAAGGGTCACTTAATATGGCACAATTATGCACAGGCATGGTTTACAGGTTTACAGATGTGCCCTTTGTCCTTTTAAGCAGTCAGTTCCTTTTTGAAAGTGCTATTAATACAAATAAAAACTGTGGGTCAAATGTGATCTCCCCCCATTATTGAATTATTTTGAAAAGGAAATTCTAAAGACTTTTGAAAGTGAAAATATACCAAGCAAACAAGTTCAATTATATCAAAATATATACCAAAATTGCAAAAGATAACCCAAGTGCTAATATGGTTAATGGGAAGAGTTTAAAGAAGCTATATGGCAAGAATTCTGTGAACAGAAGAAAATTCACCCATAAGCAGGACAGAACTGCAAACAAAATTATGAATGAATATTGGAGCATGCACATGTTGGAAAATAATGTCATTACAAGCAAATGGACAATGAAATCATCTGTATCCAGGAGATCTGACTGAGGCAGAAGATAGAAACCAACCACTATTTATGTATGTATGTATGTATGTATGTATGTCTGCCTGCCTGCCTGCCTGCCTGCCTGCCTGCCTGCCTGCATACCAGAGTTTTAAGCCTCTTCCTCCCACTCTTTTTGGTCAATGGCCTTCTGCCTATTTTTTTCCTAGCCCTGAGACTGAACTGCCCCTGTTCCATGTTTATCCAATAGCTATGGCTTAGCAGCACTGGTTTATGCCTTGCCAGCTTCAAGTTCGTACATTTCTTTAAATCTAGGAACCATTACTACTGTGGGGCAATCATGCCAAACAAAATAGAAACTAATCAGATTTAGGGACTGTTTAAAGATAACTAGTGGAGGAAAGGGGAGATGTAATAATGTTTACATTTAACTTTACAAGTCTCAGTCTCCTGAAGGTCATTTGGAAAGATGGGAGTAGAAAGTTAGAAAAAAAGCTCAGTTTTTATTTTAATAAAACATGCTTTCCAATATCATCTCTTAAATCTCTCTGTATATGTACCTTTATAATGTATATTTTAAAAATTACTATATTTGTTAGTGGTAGAATTAATTTTATAAATGAATATTAAGCTATTTTCACTGTAGTTAGCAATATAAACAACAGAAACGTATTTTTAAGGAAATGAATGTAATTATTTTAAAGTTATATATAGCACCTGAATTTTATTAAATGTTTATATATATATTTTTTTGGCGGTGGTAGTGTTTGTTTAGTCTTTTTCCATGAGTGACATACGCAGCAGCTATTAAAGTATGTTCTAAAAATGCATTTTGATTTGAATCCTTTTTACTGCCCTTGAAATATAAAACTTGGTACTTAAATCTGAAAAACCCATCAGGCAAGCACTGTATAGAAGACAGTAACACATACCACGAATAGCTGGAACAATTTTTCTCCCATGGCCCTCCGTACGTAGTTCTCAATCACTATGAACGTCTGTACAAAATACTGCAAGGAAACACTAGTCAAGCTACAAGAAAAAGCATTACAGTTTTGCAAAGCATTTGAAAGGGATGCTTTACAAAGTGTGTTACAAAGCATCCTCTGCCTGAAGTGATAAAAGAGCTGTCTTCTGGAAAGCTACCTGGTTGTCTGCATGGGTATGTACTGTATGTATATGGACAGGAAACCCTTCTGCTTGGTCTACTGGTGATGCAAAGCGAGTGTGCTTGCGCAGGCAGCCAATGGCAGCCTTTGAAAAAATCTAGCAACCCTTCATGCAACTACTTCAAGGAAAGATGCTTCAGTTGTACTAAATCACTTTGTGAAATGCCCCTTTCAAATTATTTGCTCAGTTAAAACATAAAACAGGGTTTCTTATGCAGGTTTAGTTAGTATTCTGTTTTTCTCTTCATTGTGCTCGTTCTAGAGTGAAGAGGGAGATGAAGGGAGCTTAATTCACTATCAGTAGCACCTTCAAAAGAAAAGCTCTCTAGGAATGTCATTCTGCCATCATGTACATCTTTATTTAAATAAGGAAACAATCACTTTTCTTCTACATAAACATGTTCCATATCCATCCCCTACTCCTGCCATAGCTTGATCTTGCTTCCATTGAGTTCAATTACCATAATTCCAACTGCATATGCAAATTCTTAATTTCAGTTACAGAAATGTCAAGAATAAGCTACCCCCAGTTATCTCCTAGTTCCCACTGGCACTTGCCTCTAATGTGATGCTGGCCTGTCTCTGACAGTTAGTGTGGTCTTTGTTGCCCATGGCACACATAAGGCCATGTACCACATTCAAGAAGATCAGCTCCTCGGCCACTTCTCTGGACTCCTGGGCCAGAATTCTGGGAGGGGAATATTGAATTAGTATGCTGGGAATGGAGACGGATGGAGCTATCTGCAGAAGAAATAACCTAATAATTTACAACTGAAATGCTAACTCAGAATGGTTTGGTAAGGTCTGAATGCATGGTTGGTGTTTCAGTTCAACACTGTAGACACCCAGCTTTTTATGAAGTAAGAATTCAAGTAGTGCAGGCTATATGTGGCCTACCACCAGCACCCATTTTTGCTGCACCCAGAACAAGTGGGACTGAAATATTTTTGTCTCTCTCTTTTTGAATGGGTGTTTAAAGAGCCAAAGGAGTGCTTTCATTCTCTACAAAATCTATTTTGCTCCTTAAATCCACACAAATTCCACAGAACATTAAACAAATAAATACACCAGATTTTCTTTGGTAATTTTCCTCATCCATTTGCTATTTCACCTGTAACAACAACAGCAACAACAATAACCACCAGTTTTAAAAAACCAGTGATGGAATGACAACAACAACATAGTTTAAATACCATTGCATCCTTTCCTGATGAAGTAAAAAGCTGCAATTTATTGGACACAATTTTGCTTCTACCAAATATCTATCCAAATAATAAAATTATTTTAAAAAATAATAAAGAAAGAAAAAGAAAATGTGCTCCCTCCACTTTGAAGTGTGGCCTTCAGGATACCCCTTCAGGATACCAGACAAAGCCTGATATGGCCCTTGAGCCAACAGACATTGTGTGCTCTACTATAAAGCATGTCTTCTGTTGCATAATTTAAATGATGTAGGAACATCTAAATCACCTTTTTAAATAATCACTTTGCGTTTCAAAGCTGATAACCTAAACAATTCGATGTGCCTTCTTCAGGATACCAAAAGAGCTCCAGACAAAATAGTAATAAGTACCCAGTAATACTATCCATATTTAATAACATTTCCATTACTCTGAGCCTTCTAAATAATTACTGACCTTTTATTATTAATTTGGAACAAAATAACTTCTAAAAATGTAGGTTCTAATTATTTCAATTATTTAATTATCCCTTCCTTCAGAACTAACTACTGTATCTTTCTCTCTCCTGGAATCATAACAGCATATAACAAATGGAGAGGTGCAAAGATTTAAATATATCCACCCCATTAAACAGTATTTGTCTCTTCCCCAATTCCTTTATAACTGTGATAAAAATCTTAATTATATAGTACTGCAGGAATAATGGTATCCTCCATTACACCAAGCAGGAATACACGTAAAACTACTTTTCCCTTTAAGAAGCATTTGAAGAGGGTGTGTATAATACTTGTTCTGGTTTGCCTATGCACGTGGTGGTTCTTTGTATCTCCTCTCTGCTGCACAGAGGAGTTATTTCAAATGTTTAGATAGCTAGTTCCAGTAACTAAGTATTTCTTACCCAATGGTTTTGGCTGCTGCAGCTTGCTGAACATATGCCGGCAAGGATTCCATCAGGTGCAAAGAGCCTGCTTCTGAACAGATGATACAAAATAGGAATCAAATACTGTGTCTCATAACTTTCCCGAAGTTTAGTTTTTGATCTGGGCAGAAGCTGGGCAGAACATTCTGAATCAGACTCCCCAACAAAACCCATTTCCAAACAAATTCTCCATCATTCTAGCAGCAGTGTTTGACTTATCTGGCTTTTTTCCATTTCACAAGGATGTTGGGCTTTTTTTTTTTGACTTTTCAGCAAACAGTGTTGGTGTATGTTTTCCTTTGAAAGACATATGCCTGTCCCCAGTTCTCCCAGCGTACATAACTAAAATCAATGGTGAAGTTTTATAATAATAGGTTCTACCTCCTCAGAGCCGCAGGCTTAGTTTGTGGAAATTTGGAATCTGGTAGACCAATAATAAAAGGTATGAATTTAGTTAGATAACATATATTAAGATGCTTCCTATGATAGCAAAATCTTCCCCTCTTCCCATGTGTCAGATTCAGCCGGCTCGGCCCGGCCCGGCGAAGGCACCACTCAGCTTAGCCTAAGTCAATTTCACCGCCTAGGCGCAAGCAGAGAAAAAGGGGAAGTGAAACTGTGAGCTGATTACGGACAGGCGGTGGTGCTTAACTCAAAACCGCAAGCGGATACTTTGTATCAGCGCGGTTTCCCCTCGGTCGCTGCAAGCAAAGGAAAGTGCAGAGGCTCAGAAGCGAAGCAATCAATAAACAGAACTCCTGGCTTTGCAGGCAAACAGGCAAACCCAACAAAGGCAACAACAACACAACCCATAGAGTGCAATCAGAAAGACAAAAGCACTGGACTGAATCTCCCATTTGGGGGAGGGGGGATTACTGCGGGTAATCTGTAACTAAGCAACGGGTAAAGCGCGGGAACGGGGAAGCTATAAAATACCATGTAAGCTATGCCAAGCCAACCCTGGCTTTGTCTGTACTTACTTACGTTACGCTTGAGTAAACTGCTTTGCTGAACACACGTGTCACGAGAATTTCTCTGAGACGAATGGGGTAAAAGCAACGGGTAAAGCGCGGGAACGGGGAAGCTATAAAATACCATGTAAGCTATGCCAAGCCAACCCTGGCTTTGTCTGTACTTACTTACGTTACGCTTGAGTAAACTGCTTTGCTGAACACACGTGTCACGAGAATTTCTCTGAGACGAATGGGGTAAACCTTACACCATGCACTTATAAATATAATTGTATTATTGCAAATACAGCTATAGCTATAAAAGTAGGAACCATCTTCCATACAGACAAATTCAAACAGCACTGTTCGAGAATATTACCTTCCAGGATTCTGGCTTGCATCTTGGCTGTTTCCTGTCTTGATGGCTTTAGTAATACAACCAAGCCTTTTAGCACAGCAGGTCGCACATTATAGGCCATAAGGTCCTTGATCAGTTGAATAGCTACAAGAAGGAAGATATCAAAATTCCTGTTTTGCCACAGGCTAGTTTTAATTAGTATCTCTTACACAATACAGCCTCAGTTTTTCCCATGAACTCTGAGGAATGGAACAGAACCTATTGTACCATTTAGCTGTAGTTCTCTATGGTCTCATTTCATTAGGGGCACTGAAATATATGAAATATACATGGGAGCATTAGAGTATTATAATGAACTATAATGGTGAGAGGAACTACAGAACAGTAAAGATACACTTTATTTGTACTCAACTCTTGGCAACTACTGCTATGTAATTTTCATGTAAGCCTTACAAACTTGGATTGCCAAGTGTCGATTTTTTTTTTTTTACTTTGAAGTAAAACTTTAGCTAATAACCCTGGAGGTAGTCCTTCGTTCAAGTACTGTCTAGGGCTGACTTTGTCCAGCTTGCAAGATCAGCCAAGAATGGCTATGTACTTCGGAAGTCATGTCATTAATCTACAAATCTGTTAGCAGGAAAAAAAGAAAGAACAACCAACTGATCAGTACAAAAGTATCCTCCAAAATGGCATAATCAGTGGGTAGCCCTTGTCAAAATCAATCATATATATATTCATGCCCTGTGTAAAGCAATTAGAATGCAATGTATCTTTAGATTATCTATCTTACTCCTTAAACAAAATTAAATCCTTTTAAAACAAACTCATAAAGTTGTTATAGTTCATATTTGTTTCTTTTAACGGAAGTGTTTATTAAAAGTGAAAGTTATATGCAGTTTAAAAAAAATCAGAGTCTAAAAGTTGACCTTAATAGGAAAATAAATTATGACATCAACCAATGAATCCCCAGCCAGTAACTGGACATGCCCCTATAATGTGCTTCTGTGTTCTGAACCCCTTATTGGAGAAGTCAGCACAGCGGTATAACTAATTGTCTTTTTAAAAAAAAGAGTTAAGGGAGGAAGTCTAAAATTATACTATCAAGCTGCACAGCTGGGTCATACAATCGCATTCATTTTGAAATATAAAGCAAAACAGTGGATGAAAATTGAAACTATACAAGAATTGAGGAAATCTATCTAAAGTAAAATGAAAAATGAATTTTTATAAGTTATTATCCAGATCCAGAGGAAGAGTATGCAGCGCTTATACCAGATATATCTCCTTTTACACTCCTGATGATATATCTGGGCTTTTATGATCAATATAGAATTGGACTAATGAAGATGTGGAAAGATAAGGGAATATACAGAAGAAGAGATTTTTATAAAATCTCCTTAATGTAGAATAAGAGGTAGAACACCAATTAAGATATGCAATACTATGGTTCTTATAGATTCCAATAAACTAATTCTTATGCAGTTACAGGAGAGTAATGGAATTTACAACTGCTCATTAACAAATGTTGAGAAATTGATACTAAATTACCCCTCTCAATCTAAAGGCATGACCTCCAAAATGTGCACGTTATTACTGGAAACAGATACATGAAATCCTTTCCTAAATTTGAAAGAAACTTGGGAGATTGACCTGGGAAAACATCTGGATAACACATGGCAAGTGTTGTAGAGATCTGGGAGATTTCTGTCAGCTTCTATGCAGGAATTATATTTGAAGATTTTGCACTGATGGCATTTAAACCCCATAAGAGTTGAATAAATATATCATAATTATCCAACAAAACGTTGGAGGGGTTATAAACAGAAGGGAACATTCTTCACCATTGGTGGATATATGAAAAAATATCAGACTTTTGGAAAAAGATTTTTGATGAATAACTAAACAAAGAAATTTTTACCAAAATTAGATTTATTGCATATATTAAATTGAGAGAACATGGGTTAAACAGTAAGAACCCTATCACATTGTTATATTTGGCAGCTAAATTGTTAATCCCTCAGCACTGGAAACATTTGGATAATTTATCAATTGAAAAATGTCATAGTAAAATTTGGTCCATAGCTCTATGCAAAAAAGTACCAGATAAAATTCATACATTGAAGAAACAAGATGGTGAGCCACTATTCTACAGGATCTGGAGGGATTGTATTTGTTTTATAAAAAATAGTAAGTCTTATTCTCTCAACTCACTGGATATGTGGAAATTGTAACATGATCTGTAACAAGACTAGACAATTTTGTTGATGAACTTGTAGAGTGTCATCAACTTTATGAAATGTATTTAAATAATTAAAATTTAAAAATAGAGATTAGTAATATCACAACATTTGTCTTCCTATGAAGGCAGTCATTTTGCTTATTTGCATATTAATCTCAGAGATCACTTGGCTTTGTTGCCACCCAATCACTAAAACTAGACAAACATGATCTATGCCCATATGGTTTGATTACCTTGGCAGCAAGGTTAATTATTATGATGGGAAGTATAGGCAAAACATCTCCAATGAGTCAGGTAAGGAAAATTTGATTGTTATTTATATAAGACTTCATGCTGTATGTAACATTTGTTTTACACACAGTCTTAGTTTCAAAACTGTTCCCCTCCCTCCGCCTCTGCTTTAGAATTGTAAGGCTTACTCACTACTTCATTTATTTAAACTCTGATTTTAAATTTCTGGTAAATTTATTTTCTTAACATAACAGTTGAAGAGAGGAAAAAGCAGAGTCTTACCTTCATATTGTACCTCCAAATTCAGAGAACGAAGCACACTCAGCACAGAATCAACAATGCTTGGATGGGCTTTTCCCACAATTGACTGGCAAATTAAAGAAATAACAGGGGAACATTATTCCCTGAATTGGATTATATAAATAATAGGCCCATCTTAGAACGCTCGAGTTCAAAATTAATTTGGAAAATACACATCAGATGCATGTAGATACAAATTATTTAGATTCAGCATGTTCTGGTAGACAATACTTTGACTAGGACAGCTAAATTCCTTTTCAGCCACAGATTACCTATTTGCCCTTGAACAATTATGAACTTTGCTTTTAGTATTAATTTTATTTATTTATTTATTCCATTTCACAACTCATATTCATGACTCTGGGCAGCTTCCAATTAAAACATAAACAATGCCAAAAAGTCAAAAAATAAAACAACCATACAAACAACACAAAACATTAAAACAAAACAATTAAAAACCATGTAATACAATTACCAGGAGATGATGTATTATAAACTGCAAGGGGGAAAACTTGTTTTGAAAACAGTAATATTCAAAACATGTAAATGTATAATGGCAGATGGGTGCCACTGGCTGAAGTTACCTTTGCATATATATATCATTAAAAGCATGCATATAAAATACTTTAAGAATGAGGCACATTAAAGAAATATGCCTGAGAAATAAATACCTCTGGCAAAGAACTCTTAAATAGGTATTAAAGCAGAGCATAAATTTCAAGAAATATGCACAATGGCCTGGTTTTAAAATACTTCACATGTCCAATAAAGAACACTAAAGTAGAATTTTCCCAGATATGGAGTACTCTCATAATGCTGCAAGTTGCCAGAAGGCAGAGTTACATTTTATCTTTATTAAAATTATGTCATTCTTTAGATGAATGATAATAACTGGCTGAAGACCATCCAGTGGCTATTAGTTGAGCAGTCATTTGAACCCATGATTTGTTAAAATTAATTTTACTTAGGATATGAAAAGCAAATCTTGGTTGAGGAGCTAACAACATCCTGGCATTCTTTCTTTTAATTATCACATTTTTTGCTGGGTAAGATATTGAGGCAACATTTAGTAAGAGCATTTTACTGTCATCCCTGTTTCAAATAATATAATTATTTCTCACTAGCACACCACATTAGTCAATCCATGCTCTACAAATGAAGCACATATCGCTATGACCGTGCAGTGGCCCTAATTATTTTTATTAGACAAGTTGTTGACTTGTTTCAGATATGAAAATTAATTCCATTCAATGCAGATTTCAAAGAGGGATATATACTGGGCTGGTATAGCATAAATAAATAGTTGTATAAAGACTTAAAGACTAACATTTATTATGGCAGCCTTTCATGTAGGAGACCAACTTTGTTGGAAACATACAATGTTTTCCTAAGTTGATAGGTAGGCATATGTGTTTGTGCGTGTATGTGCATATTCACACAAAACATACACATACTGGAATAAAGAATGGTAGAATGATGAACAGCAAGGCCAGAAGGAACTGCAATATAAAAGATTACAGCCAATGAGAATTGTGCAAAAGCCTACAGTAAATGTATGCAACACTGTTAACTAGTCACTATAAGAATTAGGTTTTTAGCCTGTTGTCACAGTAGGGGCATAGGCAAATGGGGGTGGGGAGGAAAAAGACAAGATGATGACCACAGTGATGCAGTTCTGGCCACCAATTTGACTTTTTTGCCCCCTTCCCCACAGAACTCCCTGTGTCACAGCTTGTATTTTTCTATTATATTTTCTTTCTGAGATTACTCCCCCAACCCTTCCACCAAGTGCTATGCCTACCAAGTTGGGATGACGTTTTACGCATCAGGGAAACAAATTCTGGTTTACTGAAGCTTATGTATAATAAATTCATTACCCTTTTGTGGTTAGATGACATCTTTTTAATTTTTTGCAATGAATTCTAAATATATTAAAGAGTGTTTTTAAAATATTGCACTGAAATTATATGCCTATCCTTACATGCTGTGGAATATGGATGTAGTTGTCCTGGCATGAGTCAGCGAATAGAGTGAGAAAAAGGGAAAAGCAGCTCAATTCTGGCCTTGAAGGGCAGCTGTGCTGTCACAAGGGTTGATGAGCTGACCTGGCTGCAGGGGGGAGATGTAGAAGCAGCAGTCCCATTGGTCCAGCCTGGTATATAGGTATTGGGGATTAGAGCCCTGGGAGGACACCTACCTCTTGCTGGGGAGCATGTTGCTGGTCTGACTAAAAGTTGGAGAGAGAAGGAGAGAAGAGAAGGAGAGGAGAGAAAGAGAGGAGAGAAAAAGTCTGTGCAAAATGGAGTGGTTGGAGAGAAAATTTGAAATGAAGTTATGTGCAGAGCAGTTGGGGGTTCCTGATTGGGAAGGGAGAAGAAAGGTCCATGGGTGGCTTCCCTGGAAGAAAGGAAGACCAAGAGAGATGACATCTTCACTCAAGACAAGAAGAGGATTGTTGATTGTTGGTAAAGCCCTGGTCTCTGGGGAATAACTGTGCAGAAGACCCTGACAGAGGTTGTTCCCCTAATGGAGAAGCAGTAGGTGTTTGGCTGAGCAGATCCAGGAGAAAGTCAAGCCGTGCTAAGCACACTACAGTAAATCCAGCCCATTCCTTTCTTTTTACTCTCTCTTGATAAGGCCAGAAATGAGGGAGGGAGACAGAGTGAAACGGGGATAAGCAGGAAAGCTACAGGGGGATAGACTCTGGGAAGGAAACTTAGGAGCAAACCTGAGACCAGATTATGTTGTATACACCTGTTGTAAATACCTGCTGTAAATAACATCACTGTATTTAGTAAAAGCATAAAAGCCTCCACTGTCTTGTTTTTCTGTGTCAATTGCCACCCTTGCATAGCGAAATATACCTCCAGTTCAAAAAGAAGCCAGTCACACTGTGACACATGCTAAAATTAAAACTGATTCTAAAATACAGTGGTACCTCGGGATACGAACGCCTCTACTAACGAACTTTTCGGGTTACGAC